GACATTCATTTCCCCAGAATAGGTAGTGTAACAAATCAATCCTGACTGCACTGATAAATTGAACTTCAAGCTTGGTGATACTGCTTTTCAGGTCTAATCCAGTGTAAGACACAGCAGGAAGGAAAGGCAAAAGCACTCGTTAGCATTTCATTCCACAAGGAGCTGCTCCCCGAGCCGGAGAGAAAAAAATAAAGGTTATCTTTTTCCCTTCTCTTTCAGCACAGTATTGCAACTATTTTTGAGGAAGGTGACATGGGGTGCGGGGGCGTGCGTGCAGATAGCAAGGTGCAGAAGAACCACCCAGCATCGCCGGCTTCTTCCCAAGCCCCAAACCTCAGGACAGGATTGTAACTTGAGCTCCTGGGTGCCAGTGAGAAAGAAGTGTTGCTTATGGGCAAAACCTGGCTCACAGCAGCATGGGGACCATACAGCAGCAAGGCTCAGGTATGCAAAGGGAAGAGGAGCTGGCAGGCTGGGCTTCGGGAGGCTGAGGTTCAGATCAAATCTTGACTGCGGAGCCTCAGGCTGAACAGAGACAGATAACTGCCCTGGGCACAGCAGAAGTACTTCTTTTTTCTAAGTAGACAGCAAGTCCTGCTCTCTGGGTCGCACAGCAGGCGGCTCCCTGGGGACCTGATCTTCATTGCCTCAGCACCATGGCACTGTAAATAATAACAAAGGAGATTTTTGCCCTTAACTTTTCTGAATCTGGATGTAAATGTCACACCTGTGGGAAACTCCAGTTTTTCACAGCTCTTCCACCCTGGAGTACAGGGTCACATTCAGCCAGAGTCTAGCAGGACTGATGTTGGGAGAAAAGTCTTCCAGTCCTCTGTGTTTGGGCAGAAAGCTTGAAATATTGGCCTGAAAAGCTCACAAAGGAAATAAAAAAGGACTTAAGGTTTGCAAATTTTGAAATCACATTGTTTTAATTGAGTCTCCTGGTGGGGTTGCAGGGCTGGAGAGGGAGTGAGCAAGGACTGGTAGACACTTGGGTTCAGCAGTGGCTTTGACTCCATGTTCCCGTGCTGTCTCTTCATTCCCACCACTGCCCTGTGCAAAGGTCTGTGCTGCTGAGACACCTCACACTTGCTCTGCTCAGCTGCCAGCCTTTGGGTACCGCCAGCCCCAGGAAGCAGGCTTTTCTTTCCAAAAGCAGTCCTCATTTTTGTATCTCCGGTGCGATGACAACTTCGTCTTTAGAGGTCCCTTTTGTGGGTCATGGAGTTAGGATTACATGTACTGCTTAATAATTAAAACCAAAGCAACCTTATTCCCTCTACACAGGGCATCTCGTGGTATGGTCAAAGTCCACTGGCACAGCTTGGCCAACCATGATAGTGGTTTGTGCAGCAGCCACTTAGATGAATATACTACCTCCCAGCAAAGGATTGTAACAAGCTTTTAGGTTAAGCAGGAGTCTTGTTGGCGCCACTGTAAAACTGGTGAAGAGGAGAGACGTGACCTCAGATAGAGGACTACACTGCAGTGCCTCCACAGCATGTAGCCCTTCAGATTTTAATTGATTGCCCAGAAATAAATACACAGATAGGCAGATACTCAGACCTCAAACCTGTCCCAGCTTGGTATCTCTCCCACCACAGCCAGGTGGTCATTCCTAGCTGTCCAAGGGCAAGAGCCCCATCAGCTTGGGGTGATGTGCCTTGGGGTAACTTGTCCCCAGAGGACAACTCTTTACTTTTTGCGTGAAGCCAGATGTCAGGTCTCTGCCTCAGTTCTTCACTGAGGCCATGACCATTCCAGCCACTCTTGTCATTGCAGTAAGTCTTAACCCCTTTTTGAATCCTGTTAGGCTTTAGAGTAGAGCCTGTCCTGTTGCTGTCTGGTTAGATGCCCCGACCATGCAGAATGCACGCAGCAAGGCCAACAGGTACCTGCTCTACCCCGACTGCACACTAAGCGTGTGCACCAACTATATCCAGGAAGCATGAAATACTTCCAGTTGTGCGTGTGTATCTAGCTGAATATTTTTTCTGCAAAGTGTTGATTAGTTCCTTTCAATTTCATCTCAGTCTCACTGTTACAGTATACCTCATCAGCCAGCTCCTCTTCACACTCCAGCCATTATTTGCTATCCTTATTATTTGCACCTGCCTTTTCCAAAAAGGACCTTTATTAGCAATACTAGTCTCAAGTCGCAGCCCCACTTTTCTTTCATTTCTGCTAGAGCAATACCACCCACTGCAAAGCTCAGCATCTCTGTAAACACTGTGGTTACAAACGAATGCATCCTTCAGCAGCCTCTTAGACCATTTTTTCCACAATGCACATTGTAAATGAGGAGTAATAGATCTTCAGAATTGCCCAGAAAACGTTATTCTGTTAGCAATATAAAAGCCTCACAGTGTCCGAGTAGGTGCCCTTGCCAAAAACATTTTATTGTGAACCAGATAATTCAGTTTGAATTGTACATGCTTTGGTATAATCATTCCAGTAAAGCATTCTTTACAATTCTGTAACAGCAAGTCACATGGCTCAGTAAAGTTTATTGCTGCAAATGCTTAGTGATTCACGGCATGGATGAATTCTGTTTCTTTCCTGGATCAAGTAATCAATAGCAAAATAATCTCCCTGCAATTACATTGCTCTGCATTAAAGAGGTGTGAAGTAAATAAGTACAAAATCTCATCTAAAAAACCGTGTGTACAACATTAAAATGAACTGCCATTTTAAACCGGGTGTCCTGCACCACAGTTTTGCATGCAGCCTGTGGCAGAGCTATGTCCAGCATACTCCTAGCCTTAAATGATTCTTGCTTAGCCCAATTACACACATTGTGCTACAAACCCAGTTGGGACTGATAGATTTTCATCCCAGCATGTCCAACAGAGTCCTGCAGTGAGCACTCTGCACTCACGCAGACCCCCCCAGCCATCCCTGTGGGTGCCAGGGACCATCTTTTTTGGAGAAAAAGCAAGACCTATGCTCTCTCAGTCAACCTTTTCGGTTCTTCCAGTGCTGCTCCTGCACACAGTAAATCAGTGTTTATAACATCCCCCACTGAGCTGAGTGCAAATTAAATCAGGCTAATTTAGTTTGCACCGTCGTGTTCAGTTGCGAGTCACAAAAGCAAAGAGAGGAATGACAGTTGGGACAGGGCACGTGCTTTGTGATGGGAGCTGCTAACAGAGCCTCTTCAGGAGCCCGGCAGGATGGCAGTGCTGTGACACCACTGCTCAGGGGCCCGGCATGTCCCTGCTCCTTCTAACCTGCCCGGCTTCGTAGATCTGAACTCTGTGGCTCCAGTGACACCACAGTAGGCCGCTCACAATAGATGATAGATATTATCACATTATAAACAAATATAAACACAGCTATCTATTTATCTCATTCTAACAGTTTTCTCATAAAAACAGTATGAAAATGATACTGTTTAGAAATAGACTGTTCTGGGGAATAAAGAGCGCACTTTTGTTTTCACTGTTTAATGCCTCCCGACTGGGAACACTGAGGTTTCTCTCTAAATATGCTTATGCTGTTGCACATACATGTAGTAAGCACATAGCTGAGCGTAGGCTCTTGCTCGTATTTGCATTCTCATCCACAGCTCACCTCATTGCTGAATCTCATATGCACTCTAAAAGGATATTTATGAGATTAAGCACCTAAAAAGTCACAAAAAGCCAGAGGGAAGGCTGCCTATGCAAGCTTAATATAACTCCTTCCCACAAAGGCATTAGAGTATGGTCTTTCATTATATGTTCATTCCCATTGGAGTTCTGTTTCATTCAGCGGCTAGACTGGGCTGTGCACTGGAAAAGATATACAATTGTGCTGTCCACAGGAATGCAAAAAAAAAAAAAAAAAAAAAGCAGCAACATCACACAGGAAAAAAAAAAAAAAAAAAAAAAAAAAGCAGCAGCACCTTGTAACAGGCACTTAGAGTAGAAAATTTCCAGGCCAAATAAATGGTAAGAAAGTGAAAAGGGATCCTACAGATAGATGCATCAAGTAACTAGCATGGGGTTTGATGTGAACAGTCCCACTTATAAACATGTTCTTTAATGCTGTTCACAGCTATGCACCCCGTTTCCACTATTTAATTAGCTACAACCTACATGTACCTGCATTGTTTAAAAGTACACACACACTCTCTCTCATCTTGCTTTATAAAAAGTAACTGACAAGTATCTGAATGTTTCACCAGACTGCTCCTGTATCACACGACAGAGACCATCCATTCCCTGCCAATCTCCAGTGACTTAAAAACAATATGGGACCAGTTTACTTCTCACTGTACTGTACTTTTCAATCTGCAGAGAAAACCCACTGCCTTTCTGAAATAAATCTGCAATCATCACACCTCCATCCACAACAAAGAGCTCATCGGTTGGTCAAATCAGCTTAGGTTCACTTCAATGGGGCTATGCTGACTTATAAAAGCAAAAAAGATGGTTTGAATGCTTGCAAATCACCTTTCTAAGTCATGGCTAGGGAAGAGTATTCATTCAGATAATCCTCACCCCTTCTTCCCCACAAGCACACAGACTCCTGCGCTCTACCATGGGCCTAGCAGCTGCAGAACTGGGATTTCCTCTATTAGGTGACAAGCCACTGAGGGCAGGGGCTGTTTCTCTCCCAGGCTCAACAGCCCCATCACCAAGCACAGGCTCTGGGCACTACCACTGTGTATGTCATCCTGTAACAACAGGGTAACATCAGCATGAAGTAGGTGACCCCAACGACTCAGTCACTGTGCTCCATGGTGTCACACTGTGCACCCATAGTTGTTGGCATCCAGCAGTCTTTTCTCAGAAGGGTTGTCTGAAGTGAAACAGGACTCAAAACAAATACATTAATTAGCAAAACTTCAATTTGCCAAGTCTGTGGTCATTAGGTCAAGTCTTGAAGGGAAGACTTTTCATAAGAGATAAATCGCAGGGCTGAGCCCAGAGAGTCCAGTGTGCGCAGGAGTGGATACAAGGCAGCCTTCCTCATCCTGGTACAGGCCTGGTTGTCCCCTCTTCCACAGCACTGCTTCAGGAATACAGTGTCATCATCATCCACTGTGAAGTAACGGGGAAAAGTATGTTGAACTCATCCACCCCTGAGAGCATCCTGCGATAGTCACAACTGAACTGGACTATGGGGCATTGGAGATCTCCGGTCTCCAGAAGGAGCAGAAGCCATAATAAAGCACAAGCCTTAGAAGCCTGAAGCTTCTTGTTGTTTCTAAACTATCTTTAAGTGATCAGGTAAAGATCTTTTATCATCTCTATTAAAAAAGCATTTTTTAATGCTACAGAACAAGATGTGCAATGAAGCCTCTTGCAATGAAGGAACCTGCATTTGTCAGCCAGGGAACAGGCTTTACCTCAGATTCCCGGAGATATATCCCTTTGCCATCTTGTGTTAAGTTGCGAAAGGCCTCTGCGAAAGAAATAAATGAGAAGCTTTAACTTGATAGCCAAGAGATCAGCACCAGGCAAGACACTGTCTCAGGAAAAACCTCAAAGGCAGAGTTTGTAGGCTATTCACAAGTGCACGAGCTTCTCTTTCTGTTCCTGGAAGACCCCTGAGGGGTGGGACCTGGGGAGCAGCTCAATAAAGTCAGGCATGTTACTGTCTGTCCATCCAGCTGTGAAACCTTGAAATGTAGGTGATCCCAACCTCACCCACTACAGTTTTGAGACATGTGTGAAGTGCCTACAGCACGAGCTCACAGAGTGAGTATCAGCTGTCTCATCATCACAACTGCACTCCCACCAAAGGTATATTTGAAGGCTCTCTTCTTCCTGGGAAATGAGCAGTCTCCACCTGTAATTTGCCTGCCTCCTCCTACAGAAGGCTGGTGCAAACCTGCAGGGAGATAAATCACTCTGATATGTACAACTTAGATGTCTGTAGAAAGTGACTGGTGGAAAGGTAAAGAGCTTCATTTCCTCTATATCTGTCTCTTGCTTTAAATTGATTACTCTGTCTATTCAGAAACCCAATCTTTCTAATTTTGACCTTCTCACTGCCATCTGGAGCAACCTCAGAAGGGCCAGGGCTTAGCTGGGCAACCCAGCTTGCCTGGCAAGCCACATAGTGCCAGCCTCACCTCCCATGATCTCCACTCAAAGCATGAAGCACACAAAGCTCTCAAAGCTGATCTTCAAGTCAGGGTCACCATATCTGATTGCCATCAAATTACAGACTTCACTGCTGAGTGAAATGCCTTCGTAAAAAGAGAAAAAGGAAAAATAGGGAAAATAGAATGAGATGGCAACCCTCAGCTGTAGGCAGCTGAATGTTCACAGCTATGAGTGTGCACACAGCTGTGAGTATGCACAACTGAGTGGTCTTCAGCTCTTCTTCAACAGCTTGGTTTTTCAAACCTCCCCTAAGATTATCAAATATCAGACAGCCCAAACCAGACCACCACATGGAGATATCTCCTCCAAACCTGAAGGAGTTTCCCCTATACTCACAGTCCTGCCAGAGTTGGAATAAGTACACATGGGCATCCATCACTCATGAGTGAATGAGGGTAATAACAGCAGCTGTGTTTAAGAGCAATACTCCACAAGAGGGTGGGAAAGGAGATGAAAAAGAAAATCCAAAGGAAGCTCATGCAGAAAGCATCAGTCCCAATGTCAAGCAGAATTTACAAGGAGTAAAAGTATTTTCTACTCATGGCCTGGGATTTTTGTTTGCTTTAGCAGAGTTCCATCTGGGTTTCTCACTGTGCTTTCACTGACTCAGATGAACTGGGTAAACCACATGCCAAAAAGAGGAGTGATATTTAAGCTGTAAACCTGCGAAAGACTGAGCACCAGCCCCCACACAAAGCTCAGGAACAGCAGCGAAGTATTTAGACCCATGTGTATGGTCTTCCATTTCTAGTTCAAGCTTCAGACATTATATTAGCGAAGTCTGGCACTAGTATTGCCTCTGTGCAAGTCCCACACTTCCAGGTTCAGTCCCTCAGCTGTCATCTTCAGCAGAGATAGCAATTTAATACGAGCTAGATCTGGCCTCCCGCATGTATCTGCACAACCCCACACAGTCTTCTAAAATTACATTAGCAACGAACAGGAAGAGATTTAAAAACTGGGTGTAAAATAGACAGACACTTCTGTTTCAGAGAACTATCAGTATGAGACCACACTGGGCCAAAGGTTAAGTAGCCCATCCCACAGCTAAATAATTTTCAGATATGTTTACACAGCTAGAGGGAAGCAGAGATGGCTAAGACCATGCAGCCTGTTATATTTTCCACTCCTCCTGGGTGCTACCTACAATTCTCAAGATGTTTCCCAGCCCTGGGCTTTTTCCAGCCTTTAGGAGGAAAAGGATGAGACTTGCCAAGATGTGCTGTGGGCTCACCTGTCTCCTGTACAGCTGCATGCAGTTCCATGAGGTCAAGCTTTCCTGATCTGCTAGTGCCTCTTTTCTGGAAAACTTCCTGGAGGGGAATATATTTTTAAACAAAACAAACCCCCAAAAAACAACAGACAACACCAAAGAGATTGTGAGCAGGGAGATACTGCAAGGGGACAGAGAAAATATTGTTATACCAAATAGAAAAGCAGCCTTTTCCACAAGACCCTGAATTCCTGGATACTTAGTGGGCCAGAGGCATTCAGCTTTGTGGGAGAATTAAGGTCAGAACATCTCAATTAAATGTCAGAGAGCACCCATTACATAAAAAAGCCCAAACAAACCAAAACCTCATAGCCACTGTAACATTCCCACAATTATAATATGAGGATAATGATTTCTTAGCCCACAAGCCTATCTATAGGCTTGATCCTCCTCCCACTAAAGTCAATGGAAACCTGGATGGTGATTTCAGAGGCAGCAGGATTAAACCCTTTCCCAAACCAATAACAGTTCAGTTGTGACAGAATGGAATTACAGAGGGTAAGAACTTCAATAAGCAGGGCCATGTCCTAGTGGTATAGAAATCACAGTAACACCCAGTCCGCCCTAAATAATAATGCACCAGTCAAGTATAATTTGAGTCAGAAGTATCACTCATGCCAAGGATACACCCAGGAGTGCCAAGATGACCCGGCAGGCATCCAGACTGAAACTCAGGTGAAAACTCTGGAAATCTGGAGAGACACAAAAAAAAGGGGGGGGCGGGGTGCGGGGAGATTGTTTTGAGGAGTCGTTGAACATCTCCCAGGAAAATGGACTCTCTCAAAATTCCCCTTCCCTTGAGGTGGCTCAGGCCCCAAAACGTTTGTGAAACTTTACATCCACTTGAGCAAACATATAATTTATGATAATAAAAATGAGGCAACAGGATGGATTCTACTAGTCTCAGAAAGTCCAATATGACCTCCCTCCAGGCATGTAACACAGAATGAAATATAGTGCACTATCTCCGGCTATTAGAAAAAATGGAAGGAAAAAGACACCCAAAGCTGTAATCCCAAACAGAATTTACTGCATGACCTTGAGCAAAGTTACTTGACCCTGAAGAGCTCTGGGGAGCAGCACTGCAGATTAATTGAAACCCTTGTGCTAAGCATCTCTCTCTCTCTGTTTCACAGACTTTCTGTTAATACCTAATTAAAATTCACCTTTAAAAAGGCATCACTGAAAACATGATGCTGCAAAGCTTAGCATTCCTGGTTCATACCTAAGTTACATAAAGAGTAAGAGAAATAGACTTTAATCTCACTCCAAATCATCATTATAGATTGTCTGTAGAGTTCCACTGATCAAGGGACAGAACCATACTCACCAATCCCTTCTCTGCAGAAAGTGAAGATATTTTAATCTTGTAATAGCCCTGTTTAGTAAATACGAACGTAGTACTGTAAAGTTTTTAAATTCATGTCTTAAAATTGATCATTTATGAAAAATAAAGACTCTCTGTTCAACATGGTCTTCTCACAGATAAGACAGTGCCTGGTGGGTTACTTTGCAAAGACAGAAAAGCTATCCTGGACTACCTTCATAGAAAAAGGAGCAATGTCAAATTCAGCTTAAGTGGAAAAACATCACATCAGTCTTTTTTTCATCTTCTTTGTCACCTATAATGGCTGGATGGTATATTTGCTGTGTTGCATGTTGGTTGTTACGAGTGAAGAGACTGGGAAGGAAAACTGGATTCATCATTATATCTGTAACTTTGTTGTTGTTGTTGTTGTTCAGAGAAAGCAGCCACTGTAATACCTTGCTGCTGTCCAGATAGCGTTATTTGTAACTAGGGACCAAACTATGAGCTCGAGGAGTGCTCTGGGCTGCCACTGGCAGAGTGGATGTCAGAGTCCTCACGAGAGAGACAACCTGAGGGCTCACCTGGTTTTCACAAGTGTAAGTTACACAGGCTACCCGCATCTCCATCCTGTCTCCCAAACACAAACATGGCACGGAGCAGCCCTATGCATGCAGAGCAGGGAAGCGGAAATAGGAATAGCAGGCATGAACCAGGCACATCAAGGTAAAGACAAGACCCCCTTCCACCGCATAACTGCCTACAGACCAGGCTAATTTTCTACACCTTCTAGTAGTGGCACTGCTGAGAATGCGGCAGTGGCACAAGGTGAAATGAGATACAGTTTCAGAAGTGAGGCTGAGGTCAAGCTGGGTTTTGGAGGTCAAATTCAGAGTCTGCATCCACACACAGTATCTACGTTTGCTCTTCCCTCTCATTCTTTCAGTTGTTGAAATTCAAACTAGATTATTTTTGCTTATAAAATTTCTACCATGTTGATTTACACCCCAGCAAATCCTTTCTCTCTGGAAATCTAACCTCGCATCAGAAGAGTCACTTCAGTCAAATCCAAGCCAGTTTCTCTTCCCAGAATTCACAAAACAGATACAGGAGTTGAGGCTTTTCTCTAAGAGGGTTTGTTTTACAAAAACATTATTTCTCAGCACTTATTTCTCCAAGATATATTATTCAGGATCCTCTGGAGCTGAACAACATTTATTTCAGGATTCTGTGATATGGAAGAGAATTTTTTTTTAAGTATTAAATCACTTTTCTCCCTCTTTCGTTTTCCCAGCATGTCTCATCTTCATTCTCTACTTTTCTGGCCCTACTCCAGACACTGGGAAAATCAATAGAAAAGACTCCCTTTGAGTATGACAAGATTCTGAGCCTGCAAGAGGTGCAGTCTTCCCCAGGCTAAGTTCTTAGGGCTCCACACAGATCAATGCAGTACTGCAGATTTACACTGAGGATCCAGACTGTTAACCTTTCAGCCCTGCTGCCAGCTGTCCCACCAAGCACACCGTCAAAAGACCTGCTTCAAACATTTCCCTTTTATCACTTACAAACAAAAAAAAAGATGGAAACTCTTGAATATCTCCTCCCCAAACTTTTCAAAGCAGAGACTTTCCCTCCTCCTTGTTATACTAATGTTTACAAGTTTTTTATAAACTGTGACATTTGTTTGTTTGGAGGATTTTTTTTTAAATGTTGCACTTCAAAAATAAAAGCCTGTTTTCAGATCATTGAGGCATGCCAGGGAAATGCATTGAGAAATGCTTCTGTGCATATTCAGACCTCCTGACAGCAAAGGACCAGCACCTCACAATACATGGCAATTTCTAGTGAAAGCCACACCATTCTCAAAATCAAAATCTTAAACAAGTGGCAAAAAGTAAAAGCATTGCTTGTTTTTAGTAACAGCTTCCATTAAAATACTGCTATCAAAAGTGCACATGTGTTTTTGTGAAATTGTGTTTGCCAAATACAGGGTATGCTGCTAAATAAACAGAGCGACCTTTTCTGAAAGGTGAAACACACGCAATCCCTCACCATAGCTAGTGGGATCCCTGAATGTCAACTCTGTCCCAAATCAGGCCAGAGAGACCATTAAAAAGAATCTTTCACAATAAGGATCATATTTCACTAGGAAAATTAGTGAAAAAGGAGATGATGGGACACCTGGAACATAGTTCACCTCTCAAAGCAAGTTAGCTGCCATCAAACTGTGATGAAGGATGTATGAGACAAGTGTCAATACTTCAGGGGGTGTTCTTTAATAGGTGACTTTCCCCAATGAGTATAAGAACACCCTAAAGGGTAGGATGGATCAACACACCCCGCACTTTGTCCCCAATACAGGCAATAGGAATTAACGTTTAGGGAGAGCACATGAGCCTGATCAGCTTCTGCAGTCCATTCTCTTGTTCCCCTGGTACTCACACCTGTTAGAAAAGGGATCTTAACAGTACATCCCTGCCTAGTCCTTTAGTATCTGTTTATGGACCTGCTGCCCACCAGTTTGCCAATATCTTTTGAGCCTGTTGATACTGTCACATCCACAAAGTCCTGTGGCATTACGTTCTAGGCATTCACATCCTGATGTGTAGAGAAGTATGGCTGTCTCAATGCTAACATATTCCTACGCTTTGCAGTTAAATCTGCTACATGGAATCAGCACTGCAGACACAGCTCAACTTCCTATGGCCCCCCTCTGTTCCCCACACTTCCATATCCAGACCTCCCTTGAACATCCACGTACTTTTACTTTCACAGAGCTACCTAATAGCTCTGGAGGAGTTTACTCTGGCAGCTCATGCACACACTTACCTGTTCAAAATCCTTTGTGAAGAAATCCTCCCAAATCTTGCCTTCATACCTATCAACAATTTCCTTTAAGATAATAAAATATATATATAAAAAAATCATTAACTCCAGGAAGAAAAATGTCACCGTCCAAGAAAGCAAAGATGCTTTCCCAGAACTGCACTCTCATCCTCTGCCCTTCCACCTTCTCTCCACCACTGCAATCAGTGCTACATCACTAACACAGCTCACTGCTAAGACAGCATTTCTATGAGGTGGGGAGTTATTTCTTGGAAAGAAATGCTCAGTTAACACACAGTGGGGAGAAACATTTCCCTCCCACCAAGCTGTGTAACAACAAAAGATGGGGCTCACTCCATGCCAAGAAGAGAGAGAAGGCTGTCTGTCCTCCTTTGTACAGGAGAACAGAGGGGATGAAAGAAGGAATGGCCCTGTTTATGGAACAGACTATGCTATAAACTCCCTTGCATAGGTTGCAGATGTGCATGCACCGCCACTGAGCTCAGTTATTTTGAAAATAACCTATAGACCACTGCATGGGAACAGTACTGCTGTCCCCATGATGTCTTTAAAACTGTTAAGGCATGAAACGAGCAGGAAGAAGTGCAAGAATGGACCAGGAGTCTCCAAAAAGTCATGAATAGGAAAGACTGCAGAGCACGTAAGATGGTGTCACTAAAAGAAGTGCAAAAGTTGCAAAAAGGCAACTAACAAAGGCATCCAAAAATTTGCCTGTCCACCACATTTGACTGCATCTGTCCACATGGTGCAAGGGACTCTGCCTGCAAACCCAAACTGCCCTTTCAAAAGTGCTGCAACACAAGCACTCACATTCTCACTCAGCTTCTCCATAGGGCAGAGAGACAGGAAAAACCCAACACCTGGAGCTGAAGACTGAACCACAGACCCCCACTCCCCTCATACTCACTCACCTTACAGAGGGTGAAACTGGGGTTCCCACCCATTTCCCTGGAGATGCAAAAAAGCAGACACATTAAGGATGTATCACAGAGTTGTGTGTGTCATCACAGGTGGCATCCCCCATCCCCAGAAGGGGCCCCAATCTGCTGTTGCAGCATATGTTTTTTTTTTTCCCCACAGTGTTACAGCTGCAGTAAGGGAAGCCCTCATGCCCATACAGCTCCCCAGGGGCTGCCGGCATCTGAAGTGTCCAAAGCACCATTTCTGCACAAGCAACCATCCTAGCATCACCAGCAGGGTCTCCTGGCAAACCGATGTTGCATTAAAAACTGTTGTCCTTCTCCAGTCTCTAACATGACATGCTGCAAGAATCCCTTGTGTAGGCCTAGGTCAACACTTCTTGAAAGGATAAGGCCAAAAGCAGTGCTTCATCCACTGAGCATCCTATGCTGGGAGAGACCCACAGCCAGCCTCTCCAAAAGAGATTGTGCTGCCTTTTGCATGGTAAAGTCTTTATGTTGCCCCCATTAGACTCAAAAGACCAGACCATCCCACCATCCCAGAGAATTAGGTGCTGTCAGACGGGCAGCAGCTTCTCACCGAAGAACATGCTTCCTGGAGAAGACCCGCAGAATGAATTTAGACTCCTGCTGAGGCTCCAAGGTGGATGGGACAATCACATAGACACCAGGCTCCAGGTGGAAGTCATGAGTCACTTCCCGCTCATCGAGGAAGACCTGGTGCTTGTTCACAGGCTGATGGTGGGTGAAGAAAGCTGGGGGCAGCTTTCTGTTGCTTTCCTGGTACTGTTAAGGGAAGAAACAGAAGCAAATGTGTTCTGAACAAGTGGACAAAAGCATGTGGAGAATTCACAGGCATGGTATAGAGAGCCTGCCTTCACACCTCAGATTTTTTTTACAGCACGAGCAGATAACTTCACAGAATCACAGAATCACTAAGGTTGGAAAGGACCTTCAAGATTGTCAAGTCCAATCATTAATCCAGCACCACCATGTCCCCTAAACCATGTCTTGAAGCACCACATCCACACATTTTTTGAACACTTCCAGAGATGGCGATTCCACCACCTCCCTGGGCAGCCTGTTCCAATGCTTGACCACCCTCTCAGTGAAGAAATTTTTCCTAATATCCAATCTAAACCTCCCCTGGCGTAACTTGAGGCCATTTCCTCTTCTCCTATCGCTGGTTACTTGGGAGAAGAGACCAACACCCACATCACCACAACCCCCTTTCAGGTAGTTGTAGAGAGCGAGAAGGTCTCTCTTCAACCTCCTTTTCTGCAGACTGAACAACCCCAGTTCCCTCAGCCGCTCCTCACAAGACTTGTGCTCCAGATCCCCCACAAGCTTCGTTGCCCTTCTCTGGACACGCTCCAGCACCTCAGCATCCTTCTTGTAGTGAGAGGCCCAAAACTGAACACAGTATTTGAGGTGCGGCCTCACCAGTGCCGAGTACAGGGGCACGATCACTTCCCTGCTCCTGCTGGCCACACAATTTCTGATACAGGCCAGGACGCTGTTGGCCTTGATTTTGCTTGAATTCTGACTGAGCTTCTGGCGTTTTTTAGCATACTGGTAAAGGTCTGCATAAATTCGACATAAAGTGTCTTCTAGCAAATACATGTCCATTGTCTGTCTCTACATGCTTGCTCTTTTCAGGATGTAACTTTTTCTAGCAAGTGCTCCACAGAAATGTGCAGTCATCACTGGACATTAAGAATTTTTTTTTCCTGATGAAGAGATGAACCTTTACCATTTCAAAGTTTTGTCTGCTTTGTCAGCCAGAGCTTTTCCCATTTAGACCAGAACATGTTCTGAAGATTGCATCTTTAAATACGTATTTGCAAAATGTACAAATGTATGCAAGTAGTTATGAACACATGAACGTGGACTGCAAATAAGGTGACTGGGCACCTACCTAATTTGACATGTGAGTTCATCAGTTGTGCCTGCAATTTTATTCCACACATGTAGTTACAAAACTGGTTATCCTGTCCTCATGTTCTCCCCCTCCTGGTCTCCATCCCTCCGTGCAATTCTAATTTGGCTCCATGGCTTCCTCCACTTTGATGACAGAGATGCTAAGGATTTCCCACCTGCAGGAACTGTGTATTTGTCTGCCTCTTTCTACTGCTTGTTCTAACTTAACCAGACGCTGTACTGACATCAAACACAGAAGGCACAGAGGTCATTTCTGATACCGTTGTTTCACAGAATCACAGAATCTTCACTATGAGTGTGGTGAGGCACTGGAGCGGATTGCCCAGAGAAGTTGTGGATAACCCACCCCCGCAAGTGTTTGTAAGTGTTCAAGGCCAGGTTGGACGGGGCTTTGAGCAACCTGGTCTAGTGGAAGGTGTCCCAGCTCATGGCAGTGGGGTTGGAACTAAATGATTTTTAAGGGTATCTTCCAACCTAAACCATTCTATAATTCTGTAACAGGGCCCAAAGGACTCAGTCATCTTCCAGGACATGGTGGTTCTCACCATGCACCACGCCTGCTCAATACTAAAATGACAAAGAACAGGGCTTTCTACAACATTATCAACAATATAAAAGTACTTGCAAGGAACAGCAGCAAGGACCGGGAGGAGAAGCGGTTTCTGTCAACCTAAGCTACTGTAGAAGTCATTTCTATACTGGTAGAAATGGCTGCAGGCAGGAACTGCTCTAGAGACTGTTCTTCACTAGCTAGAACACCCCTCCTGTTCCATAGGTGCGATGCACTTTGTTCCCAGCTTGCCCTTTGTGCTAGGGATCTGGCAGCAGCAGATTTTTCAGAGCATCTGTGATCTGAGCATACTGTAGGAGCAGCCTAATCCCTTAGCCTTGACTTCATGCATGCGTCCTTATCTGCCTGTCACTCTTGGTTCTTACAGATGTTTTGCTCCAGAGGCAATTTTCTGCAATAGGAGGATGGATAAAGTGTTGATCCAGGCAACACTGAATTCGTTTTTAATGCCACTGAGTGCCCAGTACAAAAGCCAAATAAATAAACCTGCTAGCTAAGACCACTGTCATCTTCTGATCTTGGCTGTTCCTCAAAACATTTAGCCATTACTCCACAGCCTCATAGTGGAGATGCTATTCCTCTTTCTTTGACAATATTTTTTCTTACTAATAAAACAATCTTCCTTCTGAAGGGCTCAGGGTTGCTCTTCTCCATGACCCTTATGTTAAATTTAAAGTTTTTATATTCCAGTCAATACTTTGTTGACTGTAGTTCCAGTACCTGAGATGCTTTCAGCTTGCCATCTCTCTGTATTGATCTTGGCAATCGCTACAAACCTGAAATTACAGTCCTGGCTGCCACCATTCCCCCCGGGTGCAGCACAGCAGTGAGCTAGGACCATACTCAGACCCACTCCGCCTGGAAGTTTAACTCACTTGTAACCCTGATGATAGTGCGCAAAATATTTAAGTCAGGAAGGAGTGGCATCTTACTTCATGGTTACCATGCTGCAAATACAGTAACGGGGAACACAATTGTGCTGCCCTGACCATACATCCAAACTAGCTCTTTGTCAGCCCAAATTCAGAAGGACTCTCATTTAAGAGGTGTTCTGAGTACTAACAGGGTGGAAGATATGTCCTTTTAAGATAAAAGGAGGTAAACTTTTCCCTGTTTTAAATAGCCCTCTAAGGTCAGGGCCAAAATTGGGACATAGATCAGAGTTTAACTTCCAGGGACCCACCTCAGGTTCCAAAGGCTCCTGGGTAAAGAAAATGCTAGAAATACAGCTGGCCTGAGGAAGCCAAAAACACCTGTAGCATCAGCTCCAGAGCACCCCCAACCAGGAAGGAATCTGAGCTCCCCAGGAGACCCCTGACTTGCATGGGACAAAGACTCTGTTGCTACCTCATGCCAAGACTGGGAGGCAGCAGAAAGGTGGCTCTGGCTCCCCTGAGAGCTGCAGCGAGTCCAGCTCATACACAGCCAAGAACTGAGGCAGCATCCCACAATTACAGGAGGGACAAAGGGCTGATCAGGTAAACACTGATGCCACTCCTAATACCTTTGAAGACCCAGTGCAGAAGCTGAACAACTCATGCCCCTTTTTAAGGCCACTGAGCCCTCCTTATATGGCTACTCTTCAGAAGAGTCAGTAGATAGTTCTGCATTGAGTGACTTACTGTGGAGCCTCACTGAACTCAAATACACTGTTACTAGCTGTCAGCCAAGGAACAAAGGCAAACACAACACTTTCAGTGTTGTCATAACAGCTGCACCAGCCCAGGTCCCGCAGCAAATAGCCAGCAGCGGTAGCAAGGGACTCACCTGTAGGTCCACCTGGAGGAAGAAAAGAAACAGAGCATCTGTCAGACAGGGACCTCTGGGGCTCACACAACATAGCCATATCATTGCTAGGAAGGAGCTACATATGTTCAACTGGGGTCTTTGCCTTCAGAAACCTCAGCCCCTCCACCTGAAAACCCTTCCCCACAGCCATCTCTCCATAATTGTGCAAACTCACAGCAGGAACAAGAGCTGTGGCTCTGTTCAAGGGAGGAGAGTGGCTCTGGAAGGCACTCAGATAAGCAGAGAATTGAACTCCTTCTATTGATACACACTTACCCCCAGATACACAGGGAACTAGTAGTATTCACATATGGGCAGCTGCCACATCGTACTAGGAATGCTTCTCAAGCACAATTTTCTTATGGTTGGAAATAACCTGAGGGCACTGCTCTTACTGCCCCAAAGTAGGGGGACTCCTGACATCCTCTCCCAGCTCTTGCACATAACTCTCAGAGAAGGCAAAATAAAGCCAAGAGTGCTCTGAAGCAAGAGGCATTTCTGACACACAGCACGCTGGCGAGGCAGCAAATGGGGCATAGAGCCTGAGGGAACCTAGCCCTGATGTGTGAGGAGGCTGGCCACAGGCAAGGAGAAAAATGCACCGATCACCCTGCACACAATAAAACTCTTGGTCTGAAAAGCTCTACAACATACAGGGGCTCAAAGTTTTCCTATTTGTGAAAGCAAGAAAGGCAAAGCAATTCTTCACACCTTGTAGAGTGAAATTCCAATGACGAGGTGAGGAGCTCGGTTCCGGTGTTTGCTGCTGTGTTTCTGCATCAGGGATATAACCACATTGCAGGAACCCAGGCTTTTCTTACTGTCTTCAACTGGTAAAACATTCAGCCAGTACTGAGGGTTCATGCAAAAGGTGCCTAAGCAAAACAAGAAAAACATTTTGATGTAATTTTCCATCACAAAATTGGTTGCCATCTTCCCACACAATGCCTGTCATCAGAATGAATGGGTCACAGGTTGTCTGGACCACCAGACCCCACAGGGATTTGATCTTAGGGTGCAGTTCACAAGTCAGCAGTGCAACCACTATGTAAGACAGGCAGAAGGCCCAGGAACAAGAAACTACATTTCTACTCACCTGCAACTAAGAGCATATTTTGTTTATAAATGTATCACTATTCCTCTATCGCTTCCAGTGTATGGGCTAGCTGACTTTCAGACCCCACCTGTTCTGCTTCCAGAAGGGCTGACCCTCTGCATTTCCCATTCACTTTAAGTAAAGTACCACTCCCTGGAGGTGCTGAGGATGCAAATTTTAACAGGCAAGTTTAAAGCCCCAAAGAAGCTCAGTGTTGGCAATTGATCCTAGGATCCTGCAGCTCATTTCATGCCATAACTAGCCCACTGCCCTCTGTTTGCAAGTGATAGCAGAAGCTAGTCAAAGTCCTTCAGCTGTTTATTTCTGATGTTTGTATGGAGGGTTAAGCAGGAAGAGCATGTTGTCAATTTTGTGTTAACAGTTATAAGGTGCTGGCAACTGAGTAAGAAGAGCAACGTTACCCCCGAGTCATCCAAAAGAGCACCCCTCACCATTACAGAATCCCAGACCTCCTCTTGCTGTACTTCCTTTAATCCATCTCCCACTCTTCAGGGAGTACATCCACTTCTTCCCATCTTCCTGGCTCATCAGGTCTGGAGTTAATTTACAGATCATTAGATCTACAAAATGACTCTTAAAATCTCGCAGAGACATCCTGGGAAAAAAGAGTGCCAAAAAACATCTTGTCAGCAGTTCAGTTTAGTCCATATGGCTTATAAAAAGACAAGGGAAGGGAGCAGGGATCTTCGAAGCCACACCATTCTGTTACATATGGTAATGCTCATATTTTATTAGGCAGTAAAGAAGAGAGCGTCTGCTCCAACAGCAGCATCTAGCAGTAGCAAATGCACAACTAAAATTTCAGCAAAGGATAGCAGAACAGAGATTAAAATAATATTGCCACCAAAGGGACAGCAGTGAAATGACACAGGCAACACCATTGCCACCTTGTGGCAGAAGCTGTGTAGAAACCACGAGGTTTCTACAAGACAAGCAAGAGTTTCCCAAAGCTATCTTAAAAATAAAAGGCAGGACAAAAGCTCCTGAAAGCTGCCCATGTCTCCAGCAGCCCTGGGACACCTAGCAGTATCCTGCTTCCCCCTCACTCCTGCCATTGAAGAACAGCGCATCTCTTCCATGTCAGCACATGCTTCTCACATCGTCAAGCAGAGGACAGCAGGAAAGCAAGAGCAGGCTGTTATAAAGCAGATCACATCCACCCTGCCCTAAGCAACAATGTGCTGCTTCATCTCCAGATGCAGCCCCAGAGCTACTGGCAGAGGGGGGAGAGGCAAAACTGCGCCATTACCAGAATTCTCCATCCTCTTTCTTTTTCCTCAGCAAAATCTTCTCCTTTGGGCTCAGCAGCTCCCATTTGTAAGAGCTGAGGGCAAAAACATGAGGTGACTAGACAAATGTGGCCTCAAATTCAAGGCAGAGTATATATATATAATATGTAGTTGGCCTCTACAAAAAGTGGCCATATCCCTGTCTCCATATATCTCCACATTTATCCCCCACTAAAATAGGCGCCCTATGCCTTCAGCCACGGGAGACACTCCACAAGCACTCTGGGTACCATGAGAGATAGCTAAATGGCTCCAGTTTTCTCCAGCAGAAGCCAGAAATGCTCCATTTCCATCAGCCAGTCCATTCACTTGTGCATGCAGCTTCCAAGTACTTAAAATATAAAAATCTAGACCTGCTTTGTTGGTTAATTTTCTGTCAAAGGAGACATAATAGGAAGAGTGTTTGGCATAATGAATGAATGAATGACTAGGACAGCACAAGAGGCAGCTGGGAGTCGTTTAAAAGGCAGGCCTACAGTATGTTGCTCATTATGCTCTTCAACAGGAACAGCTGGTATGTTGTCATTATGTGACAGACATGCATCAGAGGAGCTACTGCTCATCAGACAAGGTGAAAGTCATTCACATTCCCAGCACCTCCCTGTGCTCTTCCCTCCTTCCTACCCCCAAGACTCAGCAAAAGGGAAAGGGAAAAGGAAGGAACATGCTCTGCTTCAAAGAGGAATAGGACACAGGTCTACAGTTGCCCATGGTCTAGAACACAAACCATTGTCATTCATGGATCCCAATCAAAAAAATTCAGGCAGATGCAAATATAGGGCTCATTTGCCTCACTAGTTGCTTCCTCTCTTCTCATACCCAATTGTATTTCCCCAAATGGCCAGGACAGAGGACTCCTTTGCAGCCACTCAACTCCAACACTTTGCAGCCTGTGGAGGACTTCACATAGTCCCTTCTGTGATAAATGGCTGTGTGCCCTGAAACATGCTGTTTGTTTAGAGCCTCCTGCAGAGCTATCTGTCACTTTTTGCATGCCATCCAGATCACAGCAACATGGTCAGCATCTGATGTTCATATTATGTTTCCTCTGGCATTCACTAAATGGAAAAGCAGACTGAGTTTGTTGAAGCTGCATGCGTGAGAGGGCTCACATAGTTGGGCTCACATCTGCCCAAGAAATACAAATCTATCAAGTCATTGCTTTGACACTAGAGGGTCTGTGCAAGCAACTGTTACTTATCTTAATGCTGCTCTCGGCACTAATTCATGCCTGAAGATGGCAGCATCTTTCCTCCAAGAAACCTTCCCTCTTTTAAACTCACCTGTCACTTCAGTCTCCTTTCCATTCAATTTTTCCCCATGGATTTCTCAGTCTCACTAGGTTTTCTGGTCCATATTGACAGGTCACCTTCAGAAAACAGCAACACTGTGCTTACCAAGGTCTCAGCAGTTCTCATCTGGTTTATATCAATGTACTATGTTCAGATATTAACAAAGATTTTGTTTGTTCTCAGATGCCAGCAAGCATGGTGATAAAAATCTATGAATATGCAACTCTGCCAGCACAAAGAGATTAATTTGCTTCATCTTACCTTCTATAACTGAAACCAGAGACCTCAGAGATTCCTAATTTGAAGGCTTCACTGTAAATTCCTTTCTCTTTCCAATGTCTGTTCATTTTGTGCTTATGTGGGGGCAGGACTGTACTACTGTGAAAGCTAAGTCATAGCCCAGTGCAATGGCACAGCACAATGCAGCCCAGAGGGTGACCACATAGATAGTGCCTCCTGAACTGGCTTGCCGTGGTGGGAGAAGAGGGAGCCAGGCTGACTAGGGGCTTTGTTGGCAGCCTAGAGCAAAACGGCTGACTTCACATCTAATCCATGTACTTGGTCAGTCCCTTACTCCTGCCTGGCTCTTCATCCCATCAAAGGAGGCAGACTGACAGAACATGTTGCTGATAAAGTCCATACCTAAAACCCTCCTGCCGTGTGTGGGAGACACAGGCATGCATCATCTAGCTCATGGTATCTCTTCCAGTTTTCCTAGTATCTCTTGCTAGAGGTACTGAATGTGCTTTCATTCACATCTATATCACATGTCCAAAGCCCCACAAAGTCCTTTGCCATCCTTGTCAACCTCCTTTTGAGGCTGGACAAGATAGTCATCCACCAATCCAGGAGGAGAAAGGTTGAGCTTTCTCCCACTCTTTGGGACCTATTGTTTTACTGTCCATTACCTCTAGACAAATATCTTTAGGGGACTCCCAATGACACTTCTGCAGTTAAGTGGGGCCCCACCTGCATTCTCTACACAGGACCCCAGTTCTGTTCCCTTACTTTAACCTTGACTCACATTTCCACCTGCAGATTTTCATGGTTTAGCCCTTGTATTCCATTATCCTTACTTCTCTATGGCCTCTCCTCTGACTTCAGAGGAAGGCTTTTTACTCCAAGTAGGTTTCTGCACATCCTCCCAGTATCCCCAAAGGCCAGTCCTTTTGTCCTTAACAGCTCAGATGCATTTGTAGGTGATGCTCTCAGCAGAGCCCTATGAATCATTCTCACCCTTAGAGATACGCTGATCTACAACCATTGTCCTTTATATCAAGGTCACAATACTAAAATGGACACACTTCAAGGTGAATCTTTGCAAAGCATGCAGTCTCTTTTAACCTTAGACTAAAAGTGCATTGGGAACTACAACCATAGTTGCCCTGATTAAGAGTTGAACCTACGACTGCAATAAAAATTGCTGACATCCAAGCAAACCTGGACCCAGGACATTAGGGCTAGTCTTACCTTTCTAATACCAGTTACTGTGTAGGCATGGCCAGAAACAATCCCATTCTTCAGGACTTTTGTTGCCTGTATACAAAGAGAAACAGAAGGAAAATAAACCTTTTATTCTATCTCTGCTTACACAGCAGACTCATACCAATACGAGAGATCTGTTCCTGTGTAAGCAATGACTCTCAAAGCAAATGGAGAATGGTTTGAACTGCAGGAAAAAAAAAAAAAGTCTAAGCTCCTAACAGCCACATTTTGCAGTATGCTTGGAATTGGAAGGTTGATTGGGAAGGTCCCTTCCTAAATTGTGGCTCTTTGGCTAGAGACTGTCTCACTTTTAAAAGGTCCAGGAGGTTACGTTTTGATTTTCAGAACAGCAGGGTTTCCCAACAGCTGAAGTGTCAGCATCAGGCTTGGAAGCCAAGAGTTGAATTCATGTTCTGAACTACACACCTCTTTATCTTAGCAATAAGCTTATTCCATGAGTCTGTGTGTCTCACTATACCATCTGTAAAAATGGAAAATTTATTTAACAAAAATGGGAAAATGCAGTAGGTTCTTATTTAATAGAGGTTCTTTGATAGATAAACCAGTTCCTGATCATAACAACAGGGAGCTGAGAGCAGCAGGGAACCAATCCATAAGCAAAGTTCAACATTAAGAATGTGATTTCTACATAAAGTCACGTGTGGCAGCTTTGATACTTTTTGAGGTACAATGACTAGGTGAGCAGAGGGAAACAGGCCTCGAAAGGCTTTTAGCTGTAAAACCATTTAGTATCACTCCAAGTGATCTCACACCCCTAAATGTGTCTGACAGCCCATGAGAGATCTGCTGTAAGTTGCTCTTGTCAGGATATCCCACAGATCAGGAGGAGCTGCTGCAAGCTTGATCCTTATATTAACACCACCGGTAAAATCCACCAAGGCTTCTGAAACTTGCCCAATCTGCAAATCTTCATAGGAGCCGTAGAGTCTAGCAAAAAAGACATCAATATATTCTTGGGGGTATAGTCACAGATGATAGGTTGAGAACAGTGTGCCAATGAAAACATACAATAAAGGTTTGCAAAAGCAAAAGGAAGACTGTAACTCATGTTTAATTTTTGGGGAAATCTTTGGCATTTAGGAGTCTAGCAAATTGCCTCCAAGATTGGCCACAACGGGACTCTTCATTCACTGTCATCTCTCACTGCACAGCAGTGAGAACATGCCCATGACTACTTCTTTGATAACACTGCCTTAGCAAGCGTTGCTTGAATTTATCACCAGACACTGTGCTGTATCTAAGATATAGTGCCTTGAGAGCTGTCTCCAGTCTGATTTTCTTTACCATTGCAGTGCAATATTCTCCAGTCTTTTTGTTCCAATCTTAACAGCAAATGAAGATAACTGAACTTTCTCTCCTTTGCTATGATCCTTCTCTCAATGTTAAGTAGGATTTCTCCCTGCTCTGCAGAGATTATTTCAGCCCAATATTGACAAATTTTGTCAGTTATGCCTTGTTGCTTTCTTCTTAGTCCTGATAAACTACTCTAGACAAAACAGCTGGGAGAGAAGCCAGTATCCTCACCACACCATGTGATTTGTTAAATGCCTCAGCTTTGGGGGACTTCTACCAAAACCAAAGTACAATGACAATACATCAAAGGAGGCATCAGAAATCATTCACCTTTGAAAATCCCTATCTATGGCCTTGTGCTCTTCTGCAGTATTTACAAGGAAGGCATCACCCCAGCCAATACACTCCAAACATTGTTAACACTCAAAGTACAACCCCCCCCAGGATAGGTCTGTTTTCACACCTACTCCTAAACCCTTAAATTTAAACTCAAGGGCCTGGATTGATAACAGCTACTGCAGTGGCAGCTTTTATTGTGTAATAATAGAAAGATGAGAACCATTTACTATGCTCCAAATGTGTCAAGGCCTAGGAGATGCATTTATAAACAAGAACAAACTGTGTAGGCACCAACCAACATATTTTAGAAAGACTATTTGCATAACTTGAAATGAGTCACTTACTTAGCATATGCCTTCTCCAGAAGGGCTCCCCAGAACACGTTCTTATAGACTGAGGAAACAAAGACCAGCTCCCCCACCTCGTTCACTGGCAGGCGATCATCAACCACCACGTCAACCCATTCACCAAAGTGCCAGAACTGTCGGGGAAAGGAACGAGCTCATGTTTCCCTTGGAAGGGACCTCTCCTTGAAACAACAGGAGAGGCAAGATAGCTTAGCTGTGGGCACAGGACAAGCTGCCTTTGGGGGTGGGGAGGAACTGCTTTGAGTCAGTAGGATATGCTGACTCACCCACAGAACCAACTTCTCATGCCCACCCTGCCAGAGGAGAAAACAAAGCATGTATCAGGTGTAAAAGGATTGAGCAGGGAAATTAGGCACAGCTGGTCCTCTGGGGAAGGAGATCCTAACTGCAGGGTAGTGGAATTACATCAAGAGCTGTGCAAAGGCGTAGAAGGTTGGAGCAGATGTGTTCAAGTCCTGCTGACTGCTGCTACTATGGAGAAAGACTTTTGTCTGGATTAAAATATGGGTAGCTGGAGAGAAGGACCAAGCAGAGGTATATCCTTAGACTGGTTTGTAGCTGATCCACTGCCTGCACTGTTTTGTGGGAGGGGTGATGGGCTACTCTCCAGGCTAGGATACCCTCTGGCCACTTGCCCCTGGCCAAGGGGAACCATGTGCAAATTCTCTAAGGGTGTGACACAAAAAGTGACAGAGGATTTCTGAAGACCTCCTGCACTCTCGGGGAGCAGATGTACCCGGAAGTGGAAAATGCCAGCGTATTTCCTCTCAAAGTTCTGGTTTTGTGGCACGACTACAGCCAAGGTGTCCTGGTGGAACGTCAGGGCTTCCAGGGCCGCCAGGAACCAGCAGTTCTCTGCGCCAAGACAAATGGACACATGCAGTTGGCTGAAAAGCGAGAGTTGTCAGCCAAGTTCAGGAACACCATCAAAGTCCTAGCAGAAGAGCTGTTGTGCTGATGTCTTTATAATTATAACAAATTATACACAGAAAATGAGATGATCCAGACGTGTGCTTTACTTAACCAAACCACGATTGGTTTATAATTATTCTCTCATGATCTCTTCATTTGGATACTGTTTGATTAAACAAGAAATTTTGCAAGAAAAAGCCCTCAATGGAAACATTCTGTTTTTTTACTGACATTGCATGCTTTTTTTCTGTTCTCCGTAAAGGCACACTATTATATAAAAAAACAAACAAAACTTTTCCCTTTTTCTTTGAAAGCATTAACTTTTCAGAAGAGAAAAAAAATTTCCAATGCATGTCACATGCAAGACTGTACTTATCAGACTTTGTGTTTAAGGGCTTGAAGCACTTGAAAATTAGTTTAGTCCTGCCCCTACCTGTTTGACAGATGCAAATATAGCCTTTTAATTTAGGTAACACAGGCATAAAAATTATTTTTCTAACAGCAAAGCTGGGAAGAGAACACACTCACACTAAGCCTTAGGTACACAGATAGCAAGTGTCAGATTTTCTTGCTTCTGTGGTCTCTGTTCAGTTGTCAAGCAGCAACATTACAGATCAACTAGAGCACAGGATCACTTCCTATTGCAGTATTAGCATGCACAGAAGCAACACAGAGAGTGGCAATTTCAGCTTGTGGAGATACCTCTTACCACTCAAATCCCACCTTGAAGCTTGCAAGTTTTTTACTGAGCCTATCCCATCTTAATGATTGCTTCATCCACACCATGCCAAGCGAAGAGACAAGGATATGCACACCTTCTATTTGTATGCCAAGTTTTATACAGTCAAAATTCCACACAAAATGTTATCTTGTATAAGAATACTTAGGTATTTATACAAAGAAGCTTCCTTACCCACCAAGCCTTGGCAAAGATCAAGTTGCTTTCTGTTTGAAGCATAAAATACTGGACTTCTGTGCAAAGCCTGGGAAGCATATAACCAAAAAAAAAAGAGGGAGAGTCAAGTCAGTAACATGAGCTGGTTTAGCTTGAAGTCAAGGACTTTCTGCATGCAGAGTTGCAATCTCGTAAGATGGGAAATCCAGTCAGTTCCTAGTCTGGGATCTAAAAACCTCATAGATATGTGACACAAAACACTCCCTCTTCCTGTTCAAAGCTTTCAACATAGAGTGCCTTTGCCCCAACAGACATTGTTCTGGTTCAGGTATAACTCTAGTGTTATCATGAGCTCTGGCTAACCTGACACAAGCCTGGGCACACACTTGTGCGTTGTCTACATTGAATTTGGTCTCCGACATAGGCCACTGGTGCTCAGATGCATCGCCATGGGTCTCCACAAACACCTCGTTGAGAAGACAACCCTTCAGACCTGCCAGCCCTGCTCCTCCGTAATTACTGACAAGGTTCAGCCAAAGGAGGCTACAATAGCAGAGCATAAGTCTTCTAACTTTCAGCTAACCTGGCTGATGTCTCCACGACTTCACGATTTGACTGACGATCAAGCTACAGACTAACTGATGGTTGCTAGAAGTTCCTGTTGCTGTGACAAGAATGGGTCTGTGAATAATTGTTCAGAGAGAAATTAGATTGTTATTTTTTTCCTCTCCCAAGTGCCTCTGGGGTCAAATTAATAACCTAAGTGTCAAACTTACGTTTCACTCTAATGAGCCACAAATTGCTCAAGCTAATTTTGACACTGTTGCCTTCCCCTTCAGGCAGTAGTAGAGAAACAGCAAACCCTCAGAAGGCAGTTACAGAAATTAGACATCAACCCCTATCCTTCGTGAATGTGGGTGTTCAATTTGCAGGCCATCAGTCATAGATGCAGCAAGCTACAAGCCCGCAGGCTGAATGGCAGAATCTCAGAGTTTCCTCTGCAACATGGGGACTGAAGGATGCACAGCATCCATCCTCAGACAGCCTTTGGTGGGCTGAGTCTGGCATTCAGAGCAAATGGCAGCCTTCTTCATGAGGCAGTTTTAGAGCAGCGGAATGGTGGACTGAGAGACAGAGTTCGTTTGAAGTCCATCCCAACATCTCTGGGGTGGAGGGACACCTGAAGGGCTTTGTAGAGGCCAGGACTCATGTTGACTTTTCCCTCCCAAATACCCCTATGCCGATATAGCTGCCTTAGCCACAGTGTCCAGCACAACCCAGCTCAGTCCCCTGAGGACTGTGCTCTTCCTCCGTCTGTAGATCCTGACTTAACACAAACCATCTGCAAGACCAAACTGAGAATGAAACTCTGAAAACCAAGGCTGCTATTGCCAGGCTCTCTTGCACAATTTGCAAAGGTGCCTTTACTTTCCCAGTGATTTTCATGAGTTTTGCAGAAACTCAGCCCTTCTAAGAAACTGGTTAAATCTGACAAAATATGACAGCTAGAAAATAACTTAGCTAGAGGAGATGTTATCTGCTATTACCTGGTAGAATTCCCTTATAGACACAGTAACAAAAGGAGTCAGTGCTACTGAAATTCTCAGATAATTCTATACATTGCTTTCAGGAAGATCTGATTGTCAATATGTTGCTCCATGGCTCAGTAAGAACAGAACTGACATTGCTAGTAACAGGCCAGAGCAAACAACCCTTATCTAACTGTGCCAGTCCCTTGTCCTGGCCTCCTAGAGTTGTTATCCATTTGTTATGAGAACTTGCTTTGTGATCAGCGCTCAGTACCAGGTGTCTCTTGTTGTGATGTTCAGTTTAAGTGTGAGATACCAGCAAAGGCCTTGGAAATATGGGCACAAGCAGAAAACAGAGGTCCCAGAACTAAAAACAATTCACTGATTGATGGTCAGTTACTGATTGTGGTAGAAGCTCAACCTTGAGAGCTGGGAAAAGACTGCTCTAAGTACAATAAAGAATAGACTAAACAGTTAAGCAGGAAAAAAACAGCCCAACAAGAGGATAAGGCACCTGCCACTGCCAGTGAAAGTAGCCACGGTATGTGGTCCATGGGAGAGGAGTCAAAGGCTAACTGACTAGAAACCTGCAAATCTTCTAAAAGGTCAAGATCTTGAATTCTGGGGAGCAAGATCATCGCCATGAGAACTGTCATCATGGAATCATGGTGGAATCATCAGAGATGTGAGCTCCAAGGCACTCCCTTCACCTGCTTTCCCTGCTAGCTCCAAGCATTACTGGATATAAACTGAATGAGGCTGGTTATGATTTTGAGCAACTAATGCTTCAAAGGCAATTATGAAACTCCATGTACCATAGCTTCCAAAATGACAGCTGATACATAAATGTAATCTCTGGAGGCATTAAGGCACACCTAAATTAAAGTCTTAGAGTAGTTTGCTCAATGCTAACACTATTTGCCGGCTATCGGCTATAATTATCCTCTTACATTAGAGTATTACTGAAAGTCACTTACATGTGGCCTCTTCCACTGTAAATTTTGGGGTAGTTTCCTTAGCAGTGCTCCTGTTCCAATAGAGCTGATGTGAGCAGGGAAGCTGTCATCTGTGAACAGGCATTTGTTCTTCAAGCACATCTCCAGCAAGGCCTGGTAGTTCTGCTGGATGGGTGGGGTGTGTTTTTGAAAGATACTCCTGCCTAAAGGCACAGGTGACTTCTTTTTTTTCAAGCATGGCAGAAAAGGCATGGTAATGTTCACAATAATGCCATGATAATTTTTTCCACTGAGGGTTCTGCAGGGATCCTGCCCTGCACAGTCCTACTGGAAACTCCTTGTTTCTTGGGATGAGGTGCTTCTTCTCCAGAAGAATTCCTGATCATTAAAATAAATGTAAAAGTCAATTTAATCGTGAGTTTTAAAATTTTCTCGTTAGCTAGTGGGGAGGATGTGAGGGTGGCACTCCTAGGAGATGTGGGGGACCCATCTGATTCTAATCTAGTACCTATCACTGCGTTTTCAAGGCTTTACATTTGCTGCAGGTCTGAGTGAAATCAAAATGAGTGACCCCATTGACTTCTACTAGGGCTTTGAAGCCATAGACACAGCTATTCTCAGTTTCCCTCTGGACTATGTAGGCTCTCTATGTTATTTTCATAACGTGCTGCAACATGAATGACAGTCTTTATTCAATTACATTCTGGCATGTGGACATTTCCTCTCCCAAAAAGAAGAAAAATAGCAAGACAAACCAACGGCTAACAGAAAAATGGAATACATTAGGTGTTACAAAGCCGTTACTCACAACCCCCCAATGGTAATTTTGCCCTTTTTGCCTCATTTTGGAGAATTATACAATCTCCCCCAAGAGAACACATTCCATCTTGCTGATTACCACAGATTCACACATGAAATTGCATGCTGAGATTTTTTTTTCTTGTAACATCCAAGACAGATGTTTCTCATCCTCCCACTGAAAACAGCAAAGAGTCATTTCATAGCACTTTTTTAATATTAGCAGCTATGCTAAACATTAGCAGCCATCACCTTTTGCTGCAAGTGGTGGCCTCCTGGGAGAAATCATGATTAAAATCTCAGCAGGTAAATCATGGCCATCAGTGGTAACAAGGTGATCATAATCATAGCCTTCTCGTTACAGTGTGGACTGAAAAAATGAATCGGGCTACAAAGTTCAATAAATGGTTCACATACCATAATGATACAGTATTTGGAAGGCTTCCCTTCCCCTCGTTCAAAAAGGAGGCTCTCTGAGACTCAAAATCACTGCCCCAGGTACACTAGGAAACTGGTCTCAGTTAGGAATCAGTTCATTGCTACTCCCATCAAAGTTGAAGGTCACCAGTGACCCCGGTGAGAAACCAAACAACCACAGACTGCACTGTCCTCCCACACAGAGCCTTCATTTGTTGTAAAACCACTCTACAAGTGATCCACAAGGCTTGATCCTCAAGGACACCAAGAGAAATTCTTCAAAATATAACCCTGGAAACAAATATTTAATTTTCTATTGTACAGTAGAGATTTCAGACCTGAAAAAGGATTTAAGTGGCTAACAACTTGCCTACTTTTTCTCCAGATGAAAAATACTGTCTCTCCCTCCAAACCTTGCCTTTTTACAGCCATTGACCTTCACGGCTACAACAACATGAGCAACAGACCGAAAGATAGATTTAAGAGAAAAACAAGAGGAAGAAAACAGCCTGGAGATTGGCTGCACTTTCTATAGACAGACAAAACATGTCTGAAGAAGAATTTCTCATTTTGCTGCTCCCCAGGAAAAGAAGGGGTGAGCAACTGACATACTTTGAGCTATACTGAAGAGCAAATACTTGCAACACGATTTTTGGGTGTGCAGAGTATCCACAATGCCTGATAAAATCATTGTAATCTCTCACCAGTTCTCACCTCAGTCTAGCATTTATCTGAAGAACTGAACTTTACAGATAGGCCTTGAAACCCAGAGATAGTAAAAAACCCCCAATGCTTTCCAAAATGGAGGTTTAAATCACCTGAGTGTGTAGCCTTATTTTCAAGAAACTGAGCCACCAGCCCCAACTGTAACAGTGTGTGTTGAGAGTCAATGATGCAGCTACTTTATGTGTTTTGAAAACCTCCCAACTGAACCTGCCTGTAGGTGTCTTGTTTTAAACTCTTTTCCAGGTTACCTGGAAATCTTTGAACAAAAGATGCAATGAAGCATTTTATGTGTCATGAACAGTCACTGCTTAGACAGCTACAAGATGTTCTACCTCATGTTTTAACCTTCTGCCTGCTGTCTGGCCACAGTCATGTGTGTGAGCAGGCACCAGATAGATACAGTTGTATACAACTAGCCCAAGCATACCTGGAAGTCACTTGTACTCCACTCAGCAGTGTTACTCAACCAGACTGAATTGGAGTGTCCCACTGTGTCCTCCAGCATGGATGGAGCAGAGTGTGTGCATGTCTCTTCCAGCAATTATAATCTCTAAGGGAAAGCAGCCAAGTGTAGCAGACAGAGGTTAAAAGCTTTAGATGGAAGGTGTGAACCAATATGTTGGATGGATTTGATTCTCCATTCTTTGCACATCCCCCTAGTTAGTATGTTTGCCATCTAATTTAAGCCCTTCTAGTACGTTAGCATCCTACGATCTCCCCTGATCTTTCTCAGCCATCTCAGATGCCATGAAATGGCTTCGTCCCTACATCTTAAAATAATAATCTGAAGAAGCCACAGAAAGTCCTTCACTTTTAGTAAAAGTAATTGGACCATGAAAGATTTCTCTGAGAGCTGCTTACTCTCTCTACAAGAGGATTTATCCCAGGCAACACCAGGGCAGTGGGCAATTAGAGAGCTAAACCTGGAGCTGACAGAGCTCAGCCCAGTTCTGATTTAACAAAGACAATCTGTATATAGGCTGAGGAGCCACTCCTGATTGTATGGAACAGAGCAAATGTTTTCACGCAAATTAATAAACTTTAGAGTGAGCAGAACAAATGATGCAGTGCCATCTTTTACAACCATTCTCATAATACAGCACAACATTAGCCACAGAAATTAGCAGTCATTAGTCAAAATGGAAATGTGACTCTATTAGGCTTTGTTAATCTTTATTAGTCTCTAAACACACAGCATGAAAACACCACTTGCAGGTACAACCTTAAGTCTTTGATTAAACATACTGGTGTATTTCACAAATAAAAACTCAAAGCTGATTTTTTTAAAAATCCCCACTCTTCCTGTGGGTTTTTTAGCAAATAGAAATATCCTGGAAAGAAGCATTGAACTGTGTTTTCTCAGAAAATGAATGAATGTACAGATAGATGGGGGACCCTGCTCTGAATTTCCTCTGCTTAGATTACTGGCCCGAAAAGCTGATGAACGCTTTCTGGTGCTGAGATTTTCAAGGCCGAGCAGTGAACCTGCTCCAGAGCTTCCCACTGATGTTAACAAAAAGTCTGTAGTAAAAATGCCTGGATGGCTTTCAGAACTTCAAACAGCAAAGATTCACTTTTGAAAAGTCTGGTTGAGAATTTAAAATACATATTCTTTGCTGTGTAAATTGTCCAAGCTACATCAAAATCAGTGGAAATAGGAAAATCCCATTTACTGAAGATCTGTCCCTTAGCACTTAAGGTTACAACATCCTATTCATAATCACCCTGATCATTAGAGATTCTGCCTGCCCACAACTCCCATTAAAGTCAAATGAAACTTTTGATCTCTGCAAAATACTTTGTGATCAAGTACCAGGTAAACCACCCCTAAAACAGCAAAACTGAGAGAACAAGGGTACACAAAATCTAGGTTAGCTAAAACACCAGCCTGTGTTCCCAATGATTTGGCAGGCAGAAGCTTTGGACCTGTGACATGCAGGGCAGCTGACACGGCTCATCTAGTTGCTTTACATCACACCCATTCTTCTCACGTCTGCTGGTATGAACTTTTTGCCTTTCCCTTCAACACTTCCAGAGAAAAGTACAGCAGCAGCTGCTGCGTTCAGCGGCCAGCAGCGTCGTGTAACTAATATACCCATTTGATCCTAAGAGGACAGCTTCATCTCAGCACCATGCCTCCAAGAAGTGCTGACAGAGTTATACGCCTTCCAAACCCCTAGAAAATCCTAACTCTGTGCTGGCCACAGATGACTGCTGAATGCCAGCACCAAATCCCTCTACACAGCACTTGGCATTTGATGTCCTACCTTCTCCAGGTGTGTCCTCACAGTGAAGAATAATTGTTCCACTGGCAGTGATGCCTGCTGCTTATAAATAGTATATATATGTTACCTCTATCTATGTGTGTATTTAGTCCTCACGTATCAAGCACTGTGGTAGAAGCAGGAGGCGGGGGAAAAAAAGCATGTTGAGTAACGTCAGAAAATTTCTGAAGAGCTGAATGCAAAATATTCCACAGAAGACATGAAAGAACAGGTCAGCCCATCGTGCAGACTATCATTTGACTCACCCATTGCTTCAGTGGATGGCAGCTTCCTTGTTTAGTTGCCATTTGATTATTCAAAGCACAAAACTCCATGTCTCTCTCTGTATCACTGATAAGGTAGAACAGGAAGATACATTCAACTCTGTCTTAATACATTTTAACAGGATTTCTGTCTTCAGGTAAGAAAAAGTTCAGAAAGGAAATACCCACAAAAATGCCACATTTTCTCAGAACAGATGAGACCATGACAGTCTCTCCACTTTGTCAATCAGTAAATCAGAACAATTGTAAAAAGAACATTCATGTAAGTTTGAGGGCAGTATGCATCTTATGACAGACACCCAGGATTTATACGAGAAACCTCCAAGGATGGCAAAGGGCTCAGTGGATTTTTCTTTCCAGCACTATTACAGACATCACATGAGTCAGGTCCCCTGTGTGCAATACAACATGCTTTCTTTGCCGTACAAATTTAGGGATTGAACTCTCTGGAGGCAAGCGTGCTTCCCACTCACTGTATATACATGATCCAACCCCATATGCTTCATTTCTGATGGCATTTTTTGGTTGCCAGCACCACGTTCCACTCCAGGCAATGGGGGAGTAGGAGCAGTGTGGCAAGGGCAGGGAAAAGGACAACATGTGCATACCAAGTCATCTGAGAACAATGGTAGGAGAAATCTAATGGGAAATATTTCAGATTAATATGGAGGAGCAGTGAGGGCAGGAGAAGAAGGCAGAGTTGTAAAGGCAAAGTAATGAGTGAGGAAAGGGATAGACTATACTGGACATTTTTTTATTTCTA